GGCAGCTAAATGTAGATGAATATAGAAAGGAAACAGTAATGGAATATGTTGTATTTCTTCTGTGCCCTTTGGTTTGCTTTTTTTCCATTCTTGATAATTCTAGACTATAATTGTTATTATATTTTTTCAGTTATTTTACTTTATACAGTTATGTGTACCTTTTTCCTCTTTGATAAAGTCACTCCTGGCAAAAGGGAATATGCTGTTACCTAGAAATAAACATCAGAGTTTAACTGACTGGCATTCCCCCAACACCCTACAAAATATTTTTAAAATAATTTCCTACTGTGTGCAGTGGCAAAATCAAATCGTCTGCTGGGTCAAAAATTTTCTTCTCTAATTCATGGGCATAATGCTTGTTACTGAAAGATGTCTCTGCTGAACCTACACCTGCATTAACTAGTTCTTAAACCCATGCAGGTGAGATAAGAACATTGTGTTAATCTTTTCTGTCCTTCAGTCTTGTTGTGCAGTACAGGATGTAAGAGGATAAACTAGTGCTGTGGATGAACTAGGATGAACTGAGCAACTCACAGTTTAGCAAAATGAAATGGCATGGTGTTTAGCTGTGGGAAAATGTTTCCTGTTGTGGAGTATGTGCTTCTACAGATTGGAAAGGTTGGGTTTGCATCTCAGTGGATATTCTTTGCATATGGAGAAAACTATATTTCATATAAACATGTCAACTAGCAAGCATATATGAAGACAATAAAAATACAAAGTGTGCACAAGACCAGATGCAATAGTAGCTAAACAATGCCAGGGATAATCCTGAGTGAATGAGCCCAACTCAGGTTTTTAGAGATACTTTAATAATCCAATCTGGAATAAATTAATGATGAAACTAAGATTGCATATGAAGAAGCAGCAGCCTCTTGTATACCTTTCATTTGCTACTGTGCATTCCAAGCAACATACTTAAGAGCCCAGTCATTCTTGACATGTTAAGGCTTGATGTTAGGCTTCCAGGATTCTGTTTCTGTTCTTACATTGCCAGTGTCCCTGTGTGTCCTAAAGCAATGCATATTTGCTAGAAATTCCTGAATTTTTCACCCCAGTAAACAAGTGGTAGCAGCTGTTGCAGGTTTAACTTTCAGTGTTAAGTCTTACCAGACTACAGGGACTTTTCACTTTGTCTTAAAAAGGAAGATGGTGAATCTATTTCTTCAGCTTACATACAGCAACAATAACCTGGCATACATTGCCCTTTGACGTCCAGGGGCTCTTCAAGCACCATGATCGGTATTATTCCTGTTTTACTAACAAGGAAACCAGTATGAATGAGTATGAATACTCAGAATGCTTAAGCAAATTTTCCATACTCTCAAGACAAAGATGTTCTCAAGAATGGAACAGAACAGACAGTTCTGCACCTCTTTGCCTAAGCCATACTTTTACTTCATTTTAATTTTCAATTTTGTGTAATGTAACACTTGTTTAATTCAATCAGTTAGTAATTTGAAGGTAACTAACATCTTCAATGTGGGTTGAATCCTGCACACATTTTGATATTTGTGTTTTAATTACTTCTATATCTTTTCTTCATTAGACAGCTTAACCATACAGCCAAAACCTCAGTTGATGCATATACGCAGATAAAAAAATATTGTTGTGTTTCTTGCTCCTTTTTATCATTAGGGTATTTAGCATTACTGAATGGCTTAATCTTTTAGTATTTTCATGAATTTAAAATCTTTTCTTCTTCATTTTCATTATGCAGTCAACACCTGTCTTAACTATGATGGCATACTAATAAAAGCTGTGTTTGAGAGCCTTTATTCCTACAGCCCTAAAAAAAAAAGATTCCAAAAAGGAAAAGAAATACAATATTTATGAAGTTACAGAATGACATGTGAAAATCAGATGCCACAGATGTCTGTTGCACATCTCAAATAAATGTTTGTATTCATGTACTATCTATATTGTATGTGCATCTATGAAGCCATGTACACAGGTAGTGTACAATAATGAATATGCTTATATTATCTTTTTTGATAGGACTTAGATATATATCTGTACATAATTTTCATCTTTTCATTTTGGATTTAATAACATAAAATGCAGTAGCTATCACTCATAAAATATTTTTCTGGGGAAAAAGAATGTTTCCAATTAACAGAGATACATTTTCATCTTCTGATATGTAAATTACCTCTTATAATGATGTTGGATCTGATACTGTGATTTATTCTGTCTTTGAGATGTTTCATTTACTTCTCTTGTTGATGACTTCTTAAGGGCTATTTAAATGATTGCTTGATATCATAATTTTCCATTGCTATCAGAGTGGAATGACCACTTCACACTTTATTCTCTTTATTTCTCTTAATTTCTCCCCTTTTAATTCCTCAAGTTATGAGAAATTGAGAGTTTACATTATCTGACTCTATACCAAGACCTGGGGCCTAAAATAAATACTGCGTCATCTTCCATGAGCACAGTGGACTGGTATGCTCTTATCTTTATTTAAATCTTAGATAAAACTGCCGTTGATACTAATGGTAGCATGGCAGGTTTTCCTATGAATTAAAAGCTACTGCTAACTGCCCAAGTTCATCTAATACTTTCCCCAGAAACTTTTCTAGAAAAGGTTTGTCCTTCCCATACTATCAAATCCCTAGGTTCCCTCAAAAAAAAAATTTTCCTACTAGTAGAGCTGAGAAATCACTGACAAATGGTTTTTGCTTTGCACATGGCTTGCAAGATACCAACCCAGATGAAAAATTAAGGGGTGTTTTGATGGCTTATTGTTTCTCCTTTTTATGCCTCATTTTCTCAAACTGTCCTTTCTTTTTTTTAGCTTCACCAATGTAAAATTTTGAATTTCACATAAAACTAACATTCCCTGGACAACTATTAAGCTCTCTCTCCCTCCTTTTGGAGGAAGCCTGTGTTTCCAAGGTTGCTATCTGAGGACTGGCTCTGATTTGACTGATTGGAATATGGCTACAATACTGCAGTTGTCTTGTCGCTAATTAACTCATATTTCATAATAGCAACCAAAGCTGACAGGCACTTGGAGGGCAGGGTTTTATTTCTAAGGAGCTGGTAAAGAAGACGAAAAAGGAAAGCATTTTTAGCAGTTAATATCTACCCCTGTTCGTGATTTGCATCTCCAGGAGACTTGTTTTCTGAATCTGCCTTGAAAGACATCACCTTAATTACATAAGAACCTGTAATGCTAATTTAATGCTAATATTTATTATATAGAATACAGTATATTTATATTTATATAGAATACTTATATTTCTAGTTATATTGCTGTTAACTACATGTAAGAGGCAGCATCTGGACTGATATGTTTTTGAGAACAAACTGTTCTCAGGATTGAGATATTTACCATGCCATACAGTAGATGTCTCAATCCTGAGATATTTACTGTCTGGCACAGCAGAAGTAGTACTTGAACATTCCAGTCCACCATGTTATTGTGAAACCACTTAGTCAAAAGCTTTATTTTTCTTTCTCTTTGTGTTCCTTCATTGGTATGGGAATAGTGTTCATATTTATGCATAATAATTAATCCAGCAATCTTTAATAAAAAACCTTTAAAATGGCCAGCTATTCTGTAATAGACCAGTACCTCTATTTCATATGATTTTGGGGTTTTTTACACGACCTATTCCATCTGTTTAAGGAATAAAGATGTTTCACAACATGGTGCCTGATTTATGTCTACTTCTACAGACGTGTGACCTGCACAGTGACAGATCCAACTGTTACCAGAGGTCCCATGACTGTATGACACTTTGAGCTAAATTTACCACAGATGCTTTTTCCACTCTTGGAGGTTAACTTCTATAGTTCCGCAGGACTCTTACAAAAGGTCCTGCATTAACCACTAGGTGATATTTGGAGATAGGTGCCAGGAAACACAAAGAACAGAATACTTAGCAAGAAACCTTATTAACATTCCTGTGGAGCACTTTATATTCAGATGGCAGACACAAGCCTCCAGGGTAGTTAGGATATTTCCTGTTGATACGCAATGTAGTTGGTAATGCATTTTATTGTACAGTTATAAAGTGCAAAGGTTCTAGAGAGCTTTACACACTTTATGCTCATTCTTATTTGGGTGGGGTTTTTTTATATTTTAACACATAGACTATTTATCATGTTTTCCTTCCTTTTGTCAAGTCTATATAAATTTTATAAATACAATTTTTGTGCTTGCTTTCATTATAAACCTAGTTGCACTACCATCAAAAGAAATATACAGCAACACTTGTAAAGACTGTACAAAGGAATGGCTATTATGCATGTAACCACTTGTTGAGCAGTAACTTTGCTCTTTTAATTTAAAAACAATTCTAACAGTTCATAGAAAATTCAAAATGTATAATTTAAATGGTATATTCACTATCCATTTCTCTGCATTTTTTTCCTCTTCTACTGCTGTAATTGCCAAATATGCTTACACTAATATTTCCTAAAGGGAATAAACTCTCAAAGCTTTTATAAGTTTTTTGATTAAAAAAAAAAACAAATGTTTTTTTGCTAGAAATTAAATGCAAGTTTGCTTGTAATGTATAAATTATTAATGTATTTATTGTAACAGGAAAAGATCTCTTTCTGATTTACAGAGGACGTCATGTTAGAGTACTTTAGCTGAGGTATTTTTTCCTTCAGTGATTTATAACAATAACTGTCTGTATGTGTTCAACAGTCAACAAGGAATTTTATTTTTAACTTCCCCACAGTATTTTGAATGTCTTTCAGACAGGGAATATGTTCTGTTTTGCGAAGTTAGATAATAGTACTTATTCACAGTATTTAGGCAGGGATCAAGAGGAAAAAAAGAAAAAAAAAAAAAGAATTACGTTTCTAGGTAAGACTTTTAATTAACTTGGAATGAAAGATCCTTTCTTTACTCCACAGAGACTAATTTATCTAGCATGTCTCTAAGTGGAAATTCCCTGCAAACTCACTAATGTTACTGTAGCTTACATTCATCCTTCCCTTTCATTTATTACGCATCAGTATTGTTCTTTTGTTTTAAAAAAAAAAAAAAAAGAGGGGAAAAAAAAAAAGAAGGGGAGCTTGACCTTTAAACCTGTTATCACACTGCAAGAAAGAGATAGAGACTCTTTTCAGCTGCCTTCACTCCCATGTGACCTGCAGGGAGAATAGATTCAAAATAGACTAGTTCCTCCCAGGGCAATACAAGACAGAGGAGAAAAGCACTGTCATTTCCGAACAGCACAGAGCTAGAGTAAAGTCAGCGTGAAAAAGGAAGGAGTTGCAGTGTGCTGGAATTCTTCCTCCACAACCTGGATTATTACAGGAGACGGACTTCAAGGGGTTTAAAAAGCAGAGGATTTTAAAAATTTGTTCAAAATGGAGTACTTTGAGAAAAAGCTTTGTCAGGACAACTGATGTTTGACTTCTAGAACTACTGAAGGAGTTTTTCAAAATGAGCATTGTTATGAAGCCAAGATCCCGATCTACCAGCTCCTTAAGGACTGCCGACACAATGTGGTAATGCGTTTGGTTTGTTTCTTTCAAACTCCCCTTCCTATTATGACACAAAGGCATGTCCCAGGAAAGTCACAGGGTTTAATTTTGACTTAGATTTTGCATGGCTATTACAGATGTTCAGCTGCTGAGTTTCACAACTAATAGTAAGGAAAAAAAAAAGATCAGCTTTTCCTTGTGCAACACTGTGCGTAGCATTCTTTAAATGAGAACTCATTACATACATTTTTTTAACCCATTACACACATTTTTCCCATTCACCAGTCAGGTTCAGTCCTTGCACTTACAGGTACCTTTATCTTCAGTATTTATTTCAGGAACAAAGTTGTAATATAAAGCTTCTAGTTCTAGAGGCTGGAGGGTAAAATGAAGCTATAGTTTGTGTGAGCTATTTTGGGATACTTACATGTAGTTTTGCTGCATAAATAGACTGACTGTTAGAGATGAGTGTCCTGGGAGGAGACAGACTTTATAGTAGCATGTGTAAGACTGTGCTGTGCAATGCTTCATGCATTCCCCTCCTCTCAGAGGCTCAGAGGAATAGAAGCAGTCTGTATTAGTAACTTGTGCATATGATTTTCTTGCAGATTTTTTTTCAGTTAGCAGTCAGCAAAGTTTTGCCTCTAGATTAATTATTTTTTCTTGTGAGAACTTAATGCTTTATATAGCTTAAAAGGCACCAACATGACAGGTTTCTATTAGGTATTCAAAATAAATTCCCTCTTCTCTTCATTTTTTTCCTCTGTGTTTTCAACAAAACCACCATCATTTTAATAAACACGTAATAGACTAATTGTTCAGGGCTATATTTAACTGGTATAAAATGATGTATTTTAAAATATAGCCTTTGCTTAGAAATGAATGGCTTCTGTGTTACTGTGGTATAGACTAGTAACTAAGGACGCTCCTTTGTGAGGAAATACATCAAGTTAATTGAACATTTGTCGATTAAAAAGTTCATGTTTCAAATAGTCCTGGTTCTGAATTAAAGCCCTGTCAGTACTACCATTAAAGCTGTTGTTAATTTTTTCCAGTTACCTTTACTAACACCATTTTGTAGTATAAGAAAATAACTGCACTACTCAAGCTAAAGAGTAGTCCCACTTGCTCTCAGAAACCACTAAGACTTTTGCTGAAATAACTGCACTAAGTAGTGGCTCTCTATATTTTTTAAAATATAATAAAGTAATACCATGTCAGTGTAATATATATTGCTAAAGTGTTACAATCTGCAGGGTGTCTCCGAGATAGTGAGCTACATACCTTAATAACTACGTATAACTGTGCAAATAAATCAGTATCTTTCTGATTAAGTCTTCTGACTTTCAGTTATTTCTTTTATTACTGCTTCCACTGATACTTGCAAGGAAAAAGAAATCATTTGAAAGAAAAAAAAATCCTCATAGACTGTATGTGTGTGCTGATTGACTACCAAGCATTCTGTTTAAAATACCTGCCTGCCTCCCTTTCATTGCTGGCGCATTTAGTCATAATGTTGATGTGATAGGTGAGAATGCCTGTTTTGCTAATCATGAATTGAGAGTCTTCTGCCACCGTGACATTTGCAGACGCTGCCTGAGGCTGGGGGTGGCTCCTGGGGAGATCCTTGGGGGCTGACTGGACTAGGTACATGTCGTTCTCCAGAGGCAGATAGCAAAGCCAGGCAAGCCCTGCCCCAGCCAGACGCCAAAGAAAACTGGAGTGCAGAGGGAGGAGAGAAAGGGAGGGAGCCGGTGGCTGTCCTGTATGAGCTCAGCTTCTGCTGCCTCGGGCGAGGTGGAAGCTCAGGCCAGCCCATCCTACTGACGCTGCCCAACAGAGCAACCGTTTACGTTGGGGCTGAGGAGGACTGGTTTCCAAATCTGGAATGATTTTGATTGGTGTTCTTAACCAGCAGACTCAGGACTCTGTATGTTTGTCCCAGTCTTGTCTCAGTTTGTCCCAGTTTGTCTCAGTGCTGCTCAGTGTGGTTCTGTGGGACAGGATAGCAACACTGCAGTCTCACAGCAGCATTAGCACCAAAATGTGTAGGAACGTGATGAAGTCAGGAGCACTGATGGATGTTCAGGGAGAGATACTGCTTGTAATTCTCCTTTCTTTATCTGTTAACCCAGATATCTTGTGTTTTGGAGGAGTAGGAGTAACTGGGAGGAAGGAGAAGATGGGAGAATGTGAGAAAATTCTCAGGAATTTTTTCTCACAGAGCTTGTGAGAGAGCACAGGGTACTCTCTTGAGTGACTCAAGAGTAACTCCCTTACTTGAGTGAGAGGGTTGTACTGAAGTATGGATATAATTCATACAATTCTTCCAAGAGTTGGAGAGAAAAGGTCCCAGGATGTCCTTGCAGTGTAGTTTCCCGTGGGAACAAAGTTCCCATGAAGAACGGAAACCAGGCTCCCAATACATGGAGACCTCTGAGAGGATGGGAGAGGCTTAAGGCAAAGAAACCTCTACTCTCAGTTCCCTGAGCACGCTCTGTCTAAAAGTGCAGTAACTTCAGGGTACGTGGTGTAAGCATGATACTCTTTTCAATACCAGTATTATAAAGCATCCAAAAGGTATCACCTGCTGGTAGTGTGCAGGAATGCACCAGCTGGCTTTGAGGAGGTGCGGGTGAGCCCATGCTGTGCTGGTGCTTCCCCTTGCAAAATTGTCTGAGTCGGGTCTGGCTGCTGCTGCTTAGCATAACAATAGGTAGGGCCTGTAGGCAAACCTCTTTCTGATGCACTTTGCAATATTTTTCCTGACAGTTATAGTGACTGAAGTAAAAGCAGATGGTTGCTATTTATGCAAAATAAAAGGGTGACTTATTTAAGGATTACTACCTGTTACATTAATGCTGCTCATTTCTGCCACTCATTCCTATGCATTCCTTAAATTCAGAATGTGATTGTGAAGTGTGATTGTGAATGAGAACATTTCTGGGGAATAGTCTGGAAGGGATAAATGATGGTACAGAATTTTCAGTGAAGATAATTGATTTGTCTTGTTATTCGTAAGAAGAAATAACAAGGTAGTAACAAGGAAACCTACTGTAAGGTGAAACCTTAGCTCAGACAGGAATATGTGCATTTCAGTGTCTCCAATTCCTTGACTGTCACTGGACAGTAGAGCAGCAGTGTTCCACAGAACATGTCGTGTTTCTGTTGTGTTGGTTTGGTTTTGTTTGTTTCGGTTTGGATTTTTTTTATTTTGTTTTTTGCCTTCTGTAATGAAAGGAAAATTTGAACTTACGGAAAAAAACCTGTTTTGGAGGAAGTTTAGGTGGAGAATTGTTGGCAAGTAGAGCCATCAGCCAGGGTTGTTGGACAACAGGTTACTGGCTGTAAAAGGAGTAGCTGATCAGATTCTAGATATCTTTGTTTTTTCATGGTACAGATAATTAGCCCAAAGAACTAATAAGCCTCAGGACCACAGTCAGCTTTTTGCCACAGTTCCGGCTTCGTGCCCTGTCTAGAGTTGATAGTTATCTGTTTACTTTGTGGGTTGGTCTTCTTATGTCTTTATTTATATTTTGTAACATATGCCAATTCAGGCTTTCCTGTTTTTTGGAACTTAGGGTTGGCTGATCGGCAAATGGCACATCCTAGTCTCCCCAGTGCCCTAAGAGCAAAGGCCTTCAATGGTTCAGATTGTGGTATTCTGTAGACCAATGCACCTGTTCTTATTTAATTCCAGCAGTGGCTAATATCCCTTGCCCGGGATATCGTGAAGTTTAGTAGATTGGAAATTGCTGAAGGATGTTGTCAAGTATGACTTTCTCAGTATGTAACACATTTATAGGTAAGGGGAACAAAACTGATCTATTTGATTAACTTTTCATGACTGTTCCCTTAATATGTAGATCAAAATACGGCTGCTAAATAAAGCATTTATTGAATGAGGAGAAGAAAATGCTTGTGGCTTAACATCAGTAGATAGTGTTGTTCTGCGGCAGAAAAGGTAGGACAGAAGGATAAGATGAGATCCAGCTGTGCTAACCTAACATAACTGCACTGGTTTCCTGACTTAACACTACCACAAAGTAGAAGTCTGCCATGAGGGTGACGCAAATTTTTGATGCCGATATCTGCAAGGAGGTAGCTGTGGCTACTTCACACTGCCATCCCAAAACAGTTCCTTGGTTAATTGCTTGGTGCTATCAAGCATATTGCCAATGTAAAGATGATATATGTAATAAATGCTATTGAATGAGTCATATACCTATCAGTTAATGGCATCACAGCTGTATTTGAAGTATCTACTGACTTTCAGACTTAGAATCCCAGCGCAGGGTAGATCATGAACAAAACCAGCTTGTTCTTTGAAGGAATCTTTATCTACAGGGCAGAGAACAGCATGTAAATATTACTGTGAATAGTATTAACAGCATTCATACCACTTTTTATTCCTGTACTGCATTAATCTTTTTTCCTCTCCAGTATTAATATTGTCTGTGGGAGGCAAGTGCCTGTTGTCAGTGCTGGCAGTATTACCTGTCCCCTGTTGCTGTAGCTTATGAGACTATTCTTGAACAAAAGAAGGTTGTATCCTCACATAATTTCCAATTACCCTTTTAATAGTTGGAGATGCTGAATACAGTCCATTGGGAAAGTTCTGTGAAGGCTGCACAGTGTACAGACTCATGAAGACACTGAAGTACCAAACAGCACATGTATAACTGGGGGGATTCTGAATGCTGAACAAAGCCTGCAAGTTAGAGATGACCTTTCGTCCATGAAGTCTGACTTTGTTGTAATTCATATGTGACTTCATTTAGCAAAAGAGGCTTTCATAAGAGGTGTGGGCCGTAAATCACAATGACCATAGAAATTCAAGGTGGTATGTATGCTTTTATTTGCTCTGCCAGTGTTAGTGATACTGATAAAGCCTGTATAGTCAACATTACACTACTTACCAGAGTGTGATATGTTAAACAGTGCTCTTTTTACAAAATGAAATGGGAACAAATGTTCTTTTATCTAATGAATTAAGGGTAGAGTTCGAGGTGATCAAATATTGT